TATGTGTAATACATGTTTTATCATTAAACTTCAAAGGCTGGAGGCCTCTAACAAACGGATGTGTCAGGTTATAAACCCACGATACCATTACTACTGGAATTAGTTTTGTCGTCATTTGGTCTCCAACCGTTTGTTCGTTACTCCAACTTTCATTTGTGAAGTTTAAGGGTCGCACTTGGCCTTGTTTGCGTGAAAAAGATCCACGGGAGATTCAACTTTCTGTGATTGAAATAACATTATTTTAATTGATGGTTCCTGAAATGTATTGGTAAAACCAGTGCCTTCATAAGATAAAGGAAACAATGCACGGGGGTGTTACACCTACATTAACTGAGGACTTCTCACTTGTCTGTTATGGAATCATGAAGTTGTTACAACCTTCCATTTTGAAGGGTCGCTCCCCTGCCACTTAAAGAAAATCCAATGGATATTGAATCATCCGTTTGGACATTTGTTTTAATAAGAAACAAAACGGACATATATTTTTTACATTCATAATAATAACACTGGTCTATAATTTTTTAGACGTCGTCTGCTTCAAAGGTGTTACGTGCTGTTTATTATGGATTTTGATGTGCTGAATTCAAATATGGCAATTGAAACAACTGATTGGCCACTATTCCCAAAATATTTAAGTATTTACATTTTACGTCTATGTATATTGTGTAGATAGTATAGTTTTACTCATAAATTGTAAACCTAGGTATTTTCATGTGTTTATGGTTGCTTTATATGATAACATGTCACCTGTCCGGTTCGTGTAACACTTAAAAAATCAGCAAGAGGGTTGTATACATAAAATGTATCATGAAACAAAAGGCAAAAAACAATTATGTCTATATAAGTACATAGTTTAGTCCTTATTCAGGGTCTACTCGGCGCTTCTTGGCTTGTCTCTTGTATTAATGAAATTGAGCATATCTTGTAACTATCCAGCAATAGTCTGCAAGCATTGATGGGCTCCATTCACCCTGATAGCGTTTCTCCATTGTTGCAATGTCCTGGTGACATCGCTCGCCATACTCGTGGCTCGCTGCTCCGCAGTTCGATGTAAAAAAAATCTAGATGAGAGTGCAAAAATGTTATCTTTAGTAACATTTTGCAACCAAGGCTTGTGTATGCCTTGGGGAGGTTTTCCACCAACTCCCTGCAATTGTCTGCCTTGTTGTTTCCAAGAAAATTTGTTGCCACTAAGTGGAAGGCTTTCCATGCCGTCTCTTCCTTGCCACGCAGTGCACTGTCAAATGCATTATCTTGAAGTTCACGAATATGAGGACCAACAAAGACACCTTCCTTTATCTTAGCTTCATTTAACCTTGAAAATTTTCCATGGAGGTACTTGAAAGCCGCTTGTGTTTTGTCCATGGCTTTGACAAAGTTATTCATCAGAACCAGCTTGATGTGTGAGGGTGGTAACAAAATCTTCCTTGATTCAACAAGTGGTGGATGCTGACCACTTTTCCTCCCAGGCTCCAATGACTGTCGGAGTGGCCAACCTAACCTTGATGTAGTGGGAATCTCTCGCACGACTATCCCATTCGCAGAGAAAACAGCAGCAGTACTTTGTGTATCCTGTCTTTAGACCAAGCAAAAGAGCAACAACCTTCAAATCGCCACAAAGCTGCCACTGATGTTGGTAATAGTTTATGCGCCTCGAAAATTGTTTCATGTTGTCATAGGTTTCCTTCATATGGACTGCATGACCAACTGGAATTGATGGTAAAACATTGCCATTATGCAGCAAAACAGCTTTAATACTCATCTTCGATGAATCAATGAACAGTCTCCACTCATCTGGATCATGAACGATGTTGAGGGCTGCCATCACACCAGCGATGTTGTTGCAGGCTACAAGATCACCTTCCATGAAGAAGAATGGGACAAGATCCTTTTAATGGCCATGAAACATGGAAACCCTAACATCACCTGCCAGGAGATTCCACTGTTACAGTCTGAAGCCCAACAGCTCTGCCTTACTCTTGGGTAGTTCCAACTCCCTGACAAGGTCTTTCAATTAATCTTGTGTTATGAGGTATGGGATAAAATCTGGGTCATGTGACCTTGATGGTTCGGGACTTCAAGTTTCATTCGCTTCCTCGTCTGACTCAAGTGAGAATTATTCTGGTGCATCAGGAACCGGCAGTCCTCCGTGGGGTACTGGGCGTTTAGCTGATGGAATGTTCGGATAATGCACAGTCCACTCTTTCTTCTTTGACACACCTTGCCAAACTGGAGGCGCCATGCAGAAGTAACAATTGCTGATATGATCTGTTGGCTCTCTCCAAATAATTGGCGCTGCAAAAGGCATAGATTTCCTTTTCCTGTTCAACCACTGGCGAAGATCTGTTGCACAAGTGTTGCAGCATGGGGCCCACATCTTGTCCTGATCTCCAATTTTGCATCCAAAATAAAGGTGATAGGCATTCTTAACCATAGTGGTTATACTGCGCTTTTGTGATGCAAAAGTCACTTTACCACAAACATAGCAGAAGTTATCTGCTTTGTTCACACAAGTACGAGGCATCTCTGCTCACTTTGGCTGAACAGAAATGTGTCCCTTTTTAAAATCAAACACTGACAAATAATTGAGCACGACACTGTATGATTTATAGAGCTGATATAGGGCAATTTGTTCAGCAGAGGGATGTCAGCCTAGTTATGATTGCATCATCTATGACTTCTATGAATAAAATGATTTATATTAAAAAATAATTATTTTATTGTTTCCCTTCAACGTGACTTTACCGAAAGAGCTAAGAATATGAATTACTGCAGTCACGAAAGCTTTAAATCAAAATTTAAAATGATCCAGTTAATATAATGTATGATGCAACATTAATTGTTTTGCTGAGTCATAGATTTATTCATAGATCCAATCAAAGATGTACTTTAGTCATTTCTGGTTTAAATTGAGATCCTTTCCCTTTATAACACTTATCCTCCGCCATCCCCAAGTCAAGGGTCATATATACTAACCCAGTAGCATATCTTGAAAACGAGAGCCAATCAACAAGAATACCAATCAACAATTTTAAGAATCATTTTCATTCTCAAGTAAAGTTGGACTACATTTATTTCGGTAACATTTTGGCTGTAGACCAGTGTAATCACTGGAATTAACCATCATTACGAAAAGGTTAAAAAAATTGATTTTTTTTACGGCATTAAATATAACTAGCACTATTATGGAATTATATGTCACGAAATCCTGCTAATCTTGCCACGTTATACAAGCAACGCTTCGTGTGTCACATGTAGCCATGCGTTTCAGATGTGCTTCTGCGGCCGTCTGGAACGCTCTTCCTTCCGATATTAGGAAGCTGCTGGAGCTATGAACTTTTCAATGTAAATTGAAAACTAATTTCTTTGGAACTGCTTTTTGTGTTTAGCTTGTACTCACACTATTAAACACATTTTTGTGATGCTGCTGCTGCATTGGCACAAGTACGAATAACAACAACACATCAACACATTAATCAATAACAATGTGGACTTAAAAGGAGACATTTTTTTACAGAATATGGTTGGGGCAATGGCCCTTTTTGAGAACACATAAACTTCATAGCACGTAAAATGTATATTAGTGATTATAACACATTATTTGGGCATACTGACAAAAAAATATTACAATAATAATGCAGCTTGTCAAATTATGCCCAACACCAAAACTCAGACGTTACCTGTCTGAAGCGATTGGACATCCATTTATTGTCTTGGACTCATCAGTAATCCACGGCCAGGGGTGATGCAGCAATAGTGCACTCAGAAAATGACAGGGTTTGGAAAATCCTCTTAAAGAAATGGGCAATACACTTTTTATGACAAGGCGATTATCCATTATGATAGATATTCCAGCAAGGAAGACGTGGATTACACGCAAATTAGCTTAATTTTGTCATTTAGGGGCAATGTCCTTGCGTTGGTTTTTCTGCAAAAGTTAACTTCACTTCACGTGTTCTGTGATTTCCTTGTGTTCACTGTTGTTGCATTTCAGTGCTACTTGCCCTGTATTGTCATTCCGCATGTTTACCCACTGAGTCTCGTGACTCCCGTACAGGAGGATCCTGCCAAGTTTTCACGGTCTGGAGATGATTGATATGTAGTTTCAAATTGCGTAATCTGCGGTGTAACGTTTCAAATTCGGCAAATTCGGGCCGTGACAGCGGCACACGATGAGCTTACCCTCACGAATGACATCACGGGGGTCTCTAACGTACGTGTACGGACAATTCGCACGCAGTGTTAACCAGGGCGGACGCTGGGTATCGAACATAACCCTACGTCCCAGATTTCTGTACAAAAAGTCGACCGCTGTGCATTGTGTTTCGTTCCAAGAGTCCAAGGTCTGAATTTGTCTGTTAGATCCTGCGAAATTTCACGGGCGGTGCTACTGTAGAGCAACTGGCCGAGAGACACCCACGATATAGTCAGATGTGGCTGAGATTCAATGGCAAACGACTGATATCCCTTGCCTCTGTCATTCAATCGAATGCCAAGTTATACTACTCAAGGAAGGAACTTTTTACCATCCCCATCAAAGACTTTCCTTCCATTATCTGTCCATTCGAAACTTCTCAACCACATTCTTAACGCGTAGGGGCTTTCGCGACCAATATCATCCATAATACAGGGTTTTTTGGGTGTTAGATCGCATAAAAATGTGTGTGGTTAAACCCGCCACCACCCGACACAGCCAACTTGTAAGGTTTGTCACGTAAACAGAACGTGGCCAATTCGTTACTAGTACAGCAACACCGGTGTGTTGGAGAGCAAAGCCACAACGTTTACACTCCGAGTACGACGTTTCGCCAGCAATTACAGGCGCCATAATCAGGCGACAGCCACATTTCCGCCACCGCATGGAAACCGGGTGTCAAATGATCGCGGTCCCTTAGCTGCCCGCGGCGTCAACGACTCTTCCCACTTCACGCGCGCGACCGAAATGGCCGCGGCCCCTCTCTGAGTCGTCCAACGGCGCGCGGTGCTTTCACGCGGAACCCCGTCACGTGGTACGGTGGCAAAATTGCCGCGGTCCCCTTCGTCGGTGGGCCGCATCCACCACCACCCACCACCACCACCCACCCACGTGGCGCGGTTGGACTCCAGTCGCCGGTCTCGGTCTCGACATGTTCCGCAGGAAACTCTCGGCGCTCGAGTACCACGACCCGGCCAGCTTCAACCACAACGGTGAGCGGGGGCGGGGAAAACACGGAGACTGGTCGCCAGCTCCACCCTCATCACCCTCACCAGGGTGGGCCCAGGAGCGGACACCCAGAGACACCCCCTCCCGGGGGGTGCCAATAAGCTTTGGGCCTCTGTATACCAAAACAACGACATGCCCCGCCATTCGCCACCGGGTAACGGCTGCGTCGCCTCGTGCCAGGCTGGGTGCACTTGGAGGCAACCGCTGCCGGACAGCAGGAGGAGGGTTCTCGGGAGAGACCCATCCCAGGTGCCGTGGGGGTTTTTGGCTGGCCGAGGTGACCGGCAGATGGCACCGGCCAGCCTGCCGGACGGTGGCAAGGGCCAAAGAAGAAGTCCTCTTGTTGTATGGGAAACATTGGCACGGTACAGTTCTGTCCACTGCTCGACCACGGCACCCCCAAGAGGCGTGCGTGTGTGGTCGTGGAGGGTGATTTGAGAGCATACTTCACCATATTCGTGGGCCTCTTGTCACACTACGTTAGTTCATAGTTTCATTTATTTGGTATAGCCCTGTGAGCCATTCGGCTCTTGAATCGGGTGCAACCTCAACAAACAAAAAACATGAACAAGAAAACATCTTAAAGTGATTATGTGACTGTGCAAACAGAAAATCCAGGAAAAAAATATCAAAATATTCCTGAAATAGCACCGTACACCAACGCTGTGTGCAAAAATCCCCGTGGGATGCAAGTCAAACAACAACAACCACAAGACAACTAAGATTAAGGCCATCAGTCTAACTCCGTACTACAATAAACAAAAACATGGCCAAAACAAAGAAAAACTTTTCGAAATCACCAAAATAAAAGCCATAAATCCAATGTAACAGTGATCATAGGGACTGTGACCGAATTTTTTTTACAATAAACTACATAAATAAATTATAACACCAAAATCTATTAGCCATATTTTAGGCCACTGAATAGCAGTGGCAGCTAGGGGTTGTACAACTCCTCTAGAGCAGTTTTGAGTGACGATCTCGTAGGTAGTGATTCAACGGCATCGCGCGCTTTCACATTGCGCTTTCTTTGGCCGTCTGGAACGCTCTTCCGATATTAGGAAGCCACCGGGAGGTGAAGCACTTTCAAATCGTTTCGATTGAAAACAAATTTCTTGAACTATTATCTTAGCTCTTTCGGTAAAGTCACGTTGAAGGGAAACAATAAAATATATATAAAACAATAAAAATTCTCACGACGTTTCGACCATAACGCAAACGGTCATCATCACACACCTGATGATGACCGTTTGCGTTATGGTCGAAACGTCGTGAAAATATTTATTTGTTTTATATATATTTTATTGTTTCCCTTCAACGTGACTTTACCGAAAGAGCTAAGAATACGAATTACTGCAGTCACGAAAGCTTTAAATCAAAATTCTTGAGAACTGTTCAGTTTGCTCTCCGTTCGCCCGCGCCTGCGATTTGCGCGGTTGACTACGTACGGTGCGAAAGAAGTCCAACATAGGTGAAGGGGGGTTGAACCCGGTCAACTTCGGATTTGGAGGCCGGATTTCGGCCACGGCTACCATCAGTGGCGAGTGACATCTGAACCGAAGCTGGCAACCCCATCGCCAGCTCGCACTGACCAGCGTGGCGAAGTATGGACTGACAAGAGGGGCATGTGTGTGATGAGGCTACGGGTTGACCAGGTGAATGTGGAATTTCCACAGTTGGTTCGTGGCCCGCCAAAGTAAGTGAGTGCACAGAGAGAGAGAGAGATAATTTTAATTGAAAGCACAGCAATAGCGGTGACTTGGTGATTCGCAGGGCTTGGGTGACGGTAACAATCACTGCTGCTGCGTTGGCAGTGGGGCACGATCAGAAATTAGCAAACAAAACTCAACACATTGCCCAATACCACTGCCTGCAAAGAAAAATCTATACCATAGGGACAACGTTTTGGGAAATGGCCCTTAACATCACACGTTGCCTATTATATACACAGTATAATAAGGTGAGGGACACACTGCCCCATGCGTTAATAAATAAGGCAATGCCACTTAATCATCTTACTGAACACAAATTGTCTAATTCGCGTATTTTAGTTAACTGACACAGACTGGTGTAGCCTGACTTGGAATGAGTGCTCATATTCCCAGCCCTCTCTTTGTTTTCATATTCTTATTCATAGCAATGCATCGGTGATTGTGACGTCGTAACACATGAATCATCAGTGCATTATTGACGTCATGGTAATCGTATGAATACATTAATTATGGTAATGATGGCTATCGTAGGAATACATAAAAAGTAACATCATAACCGGCAATTAATGAGGGTAACAACGATAGCAATGTATTGGGTGGGTAGTGCTGTGGCTGTATAGGTTAAGAGCAGTGTTCTTTCAGAGGAGGCCACTTTTGCCTATAAGACATCAGTGTGTGGGGCCGCCACAAATTTGAAACCATTGGGGTTTGGCAGCAGCATGGTGGTGATGGGGGGGGGTGTTTTCACATGTTGCGTATTGTCAGGGGCCACACGTAAGGGCCCCCACTGAAGGCCACCAGGGGCCCGTGGGCTTTGCAATGAAGAACACTGGGTTAGAGCTGTCTGCACTTTGGCATGTGAATGCAGTACAGTATTTACAACAATATTTAATACGCCATCAGTTCACTGCCTTTGTTCCCCTTGTATCGGTCCAAGAAAGCCTCACCGAGTCTCAACGTATTATTATTATTTCACGGAGGGTCCTGCATTGGGATGTTTGGGCAATTCCTCTTTAGCGGCTGCTTTGTCTTTTTGTGTGGATTGGTTAATAGGTCAACCGTGTTGTGAACAGGTTCTTTAAAAAAAAAAGGAATTTAATGTTGCAGTTCAACATGGTTTCAGACGCACATTTCAGATGCTTTTTAAGATGTGGATAATCATTCGTGTAATCATTTATGGCAAAACTAATTAAAGAGTTAGCCGTCATATTGAGTTTTGCATATTGATGTTGAGTACTGTATATCTGTCTTGATCCATCATTTGGGCTCTTGGCAAAGGAACTGCTCATTACACCCATTGGTGTCCCTCCATTGTTTGTTAGGAGCAGTGTCCTTTGTGTACAGTGATGCTGAATGTATTTGTTCGCTGTTGGGTGTATAACGCGTGTGTCCATCTGCCCACCGTAGATGAAACCGAGTATAGAAATTTCATCGTGTGGCTGGAAGATCAAAAGATCCGACACTACAAGATCGAAGACCGAGGCAATCTGAGGAACATCCACAGCACTGAGTGGCCAGGCTATTTTGAAAAGGTACGTTCGTCTAAAGGTTGTGTAAGCCTTTGCGGGTGCTTAGTTCACAAATCATGTGATTAGTGACGACGTTTACACATCGCACCAGGTACTCATTTGAGCCCGAGTCGACCTAGGGGAGGCTCAGGACTGGTTCAGATAATCATCACTGGTTTTGGCTGTGAACGGGAATCGGGATGCCAGGTTCGTAGCGCAGCGCACTAACCACAATAGCGAATTCCTGTAATGCCGCACTCGCCGGCTCACCACCGTGGCTTCCTTTCCCGCTTGTCTGTGGTTCCTGGTGCCTCCGATTCGTTTTCTCTCTTCGAGAGCGAGCGGATCCTTTGCAGCGCATTACAATTTTTAATTATTATTATTAAGCCCTCCCCAAGATGTTGCCCTCTCTCAGGGTCTTGTGGTGCAACGCTCCATCCAGCTTTCTGCACATGGGTTTATTTCATTGCTTCCACTCCTGTGGTGGAGATTCCCCTTAGGCATGGTCCTCGCTGGCAAAGATTGTTTCTGCCCAAACAAGAAATGGGGCGGTGCTCTGGCACCATTGGTGATTGTCTAAGCCAGCGGTGGAAATTCTACATTCCCTTGGTGGGGGCCAGTTTAACCAAGAGATGGCCACAGCTTGCAGGTCAACCAATCTGCCATCCGATTCTTAGCAATTCATAACTTAATGGGATCATTGTGGATAATCTATACGGATAACAGGATCCACTGTAGGGTGGCAGGTAAGAGGCTTTAACTTTATGGGCAAGATTCACATCTTGGTCAAATGACAAACAAATGACAAACACACGTTACCTTTGTAATGGACGTAGGCATTGTTTTTACCAAACGTGCATCTAAAATTAACATTCGTAAACATGCAAGTTGAACCGTGTTTGAGAACAGCCAAACATTTCGAAGGTGGAAAATGTCAGAAACTATTCATTCATAAATTAAGATTTTTACATTTGTGAAAAATCTTGTATATGGCATAGGGCATACAACAGCCATCTGAACATTTTCACGGAGGTGAGGGCCCCCCCCCCCAACCTCTGTAAACATGTTTAGACCCCTCCGGGTTTGTCTCTGCACACGCTTGCACATGTGAGGAGCGGTGGCGCAGCGGTGAGTGCGCTGCTCTACGAACACGGCATTCCGATTCCCGCTCACGGCCAACACCAGTGATGATCATCTGAAACCAGTCCTGGACCTCGCCGATGTCAACTCAGGCTCAAATGAAAATCTGGTGTGATGTGCAAATGTTGTCACTAGGGAGACAAAGGCGGCCAGGCGTGGTGCTGGCCACCCACCCCCTCGTGTGCCGTGCCAGCCTTCATAGGTGCTCGCTATTAGCACCTACCCCAACAGTCTGTTAAGGCTATGGGGGGGGATCTTTGTGTTTGTATTAATTTGCAGCTGTGGGAGGACATACCTGTGTGCATGCATGTGAATCATATACTCCGATTTGCGTCTCCCCCTTTTACGTCATTTCATAAATACGCCGTTACTTTATTTATACCACTACCTGATTTGCGTCTTCTTAACCCACACGTCGCTGACAGCATCCTATCTGTCGTCTCAGCCTTCGCCTCCCATCTACTCTGTAAATTGCTTTGATTTACATCGTTTCGATATTTGTCGTACACGTACGTCATCGGAAGGGAATCGGAAGAAAAAGTGATGACTTGCACATATGTCGTCGTAATGAGAAAGGTTTAATACCGCGGTGTTTTCGACGAGCGCGTTGCATTTAATGTGTTCGTCCGATCGTTTTTTCACAGTACTTGGCTGACGTCTGCTGCCCGTTCACTGCAAAGGAGAGAGCCGAGGTGACGGACTGGCTCCTTGGGCTCGGGGTGCGGCTGGAATATGGGGACAATGGTACGATAAAATCTGAAATGTCAACCCACCCAGCGATTAACGGTCCTGCTGATTAATTATCCTGCGTGTTAACAGCAAAGCACAGTGATGAACTCAAAGCGAAGTCCGTTTTTTTGGGTGATGTTTGCAAAATACATTCGCGTGATCGTAGGCGGATGGAATCTGTAAGCGATACATTCAATACAACTTTGACTGTATATTTTATATGCAGATGTAATTAGAACAGACGTGGAGTGAATTTATTACGTGTCAGAATTCGAATAGCTATATATACTGGAGGAATCTGATGAGCTATAAAGCTCTTTTCCACAGACGTCCAGTGTTGAGGCAGCTGGACATTGTTGGGCAAACAATTGGCCCACTTTTAACCAAGGTAACCAGAGAGCACAGATTTACGTGTTGCTAAACTCATCACTCACACAGCGAACAATTATCTATATCTAAGAACGCACAAGTAAAAAAACAAATACAGTCATACCTCGGTATACGACCGCTTTGAATACGTCGAATTTGGTACACGTCGTGTTTTGACGAGAAAAAAATGTCTTGGGATACAACGTCTTGCTTGGGATATGACGTCTTGGGATACGACGTCTTGGGATACGACGTGTTGCTTGAGATACGACGTGTTGCTTGGGATACGTCTTGCTTGTGATACGACGTCTTGCTTGTGATACGACGTCTTGCTTGTGATACGACGTCTTGGGATACGACGTGTTGCTTGGGATACGACGCGCTGCTTGGGATACGTCTTGCTTGTGATACGACGTCTTGCTTGTGATACGACGTCTTGCTTGGGATACGTCTTGCTTGGGATACAACTTCTTGGGATACGTCTTGCTTGGGATACAACTTCTTGGGATACGACGTCTTGGGATACGACATCTTGCTTGAGATACGACGTCTTGCTTGGGATACGTCTTGCTTGGGATACGTCTTACTTGGGATACGTCTTGCTTGGGATACGTCTTGCTAGGGATACGTCTTCCTTGGGATACGTCTTGCTAGGGATACATCTTGCTTGGGATACGTCTTGCTTGGGATACGTCTTGCTTGGGATACGTCTTGCTAGGGATACGTCTTGCTAGGGATACGTCTTGCTTGGGATACGTCTTGCTTGGGATACGTCTTGCTTGGGATACGTCTTGCTAGGGATACGTCTTGCTTGGGATACGTCTTGCTAGGGATACGTCTTGCTAGGGATACGTCTTGCTTGGGATACGTCTTACTAGGGATACGTCTTGCTTGGGATACGTCTTGCTTGGGATACGTCTTGCTAGGGATACGTCTTGCTAGGGATACGTCTTGCTTGGGATACGTCTTGCTAGGGATACGTCTTGCTAGGGATACGTCTTGCTTTGGATACGTCTTGCTAGGGATACGTCTTGCTAGGGATACGTCTTGCTAGGGATACGTCTTGCTTGGGATACGTCTTGCTAGGGATACGTCTTGCTAGGGATACGTCTTGCTAGGGATATGTCTTGCTAGGGATACGTCTTGCTAGGGATACGTCTTGCTAGGGATACGAGGCCTTGCTTGGGATACTAGGTGCTTGCTAGAACTTGTTTGGGTCGGGATGAGTCGCCGCGTCTCCGCGTAGACCCCGTTCACGACTGAAACAAAGCGCCGCTCCTCAGTCTGCCTGTACAGTATTTTAATTTTAATTTATGCATTCATTTTAATTTATGTATGCATTTTAGTAATAAGTAGTGTCTAAATTATCTTATACAACCCCATTAATGTATAATGTGCCATATAAAATATAATTTATTATACTCTGGAACGGATTATTTCCTTTCCCTTTATTTCTTATGGGAAAAATTAGTTTGGTGTTTACGTCACTTTCGGTATTAGTCCTCCTACCTTCTGGAACGAATTAACGACGTATACCGAGGTACCACTGTATACTGTTAAGAAGAAGAATTGTAATTCTTATAATTACAGTTACATTCGCGTTGTTAGCTGACATTCACAATTTATTATGGATGGCAGATTTGTAATTTATCCTAGCCATGGAGGAGTGAGTAATTTGTAAAAAAAAATTGTATACAAAGTTATACTTGCTGTGAGTGAAAGGATTGTATGTATGTTGCACTTCTTTCACACCGTACGTAGCCAACCGTGCTAATCGGAGGTGCGGGAGAATCCTGACTGGTCTGCTTTGTGAATAGTCGATGTTTCAATCGTTACCGTGTTTCCTTCACAGTTGAGAAGTACAACAAGATTTCGGCAGACAGTCTAAAGTCATCCGGAGGAAATTCCAAACCTTCAGACCACCTCACCAATCTCGATGGTAAGCAAGTGGGAACGTTTCCATTGAGTATTAATCATTAAGAGGAATGTATATGAATAAAGACAAACCATATAGCCTTAACAGACTTTTGAGACAAGTGCCGTTTGCGTGCACCTACGAAGGCCGGCACGGTACGTCTACACGTGTACACTTACACTTGCGTCACGTGTACACGTGCGTCATTGGAAAGGAATCTGAAGAGAAACTGATGACGTACACGTACAGAATGGGAAAGGTTTAACAGTCGCCGTGAGTAACTTGGGGAATGCGTGCTGTCTGTACTGCATCACCCTCTTCGCCCGTCCAGTGAGCAACCAAGACGTGAAGGCGGGGGTGTCTGCGCTGGCCAACCTGCTCCAGATTCCCCGACATGACGACTACCTTGTCATGCTCAAGGTACTGCGACCGCTTGTCATTGTGTTAATTTCCAGTCAAAGCACATTTTCCAGGTCTCCAGTAGGTTGGATTATGCGCCTGACTGGTAGCCACAGCCGCGGGGTGAGGTGTAATGGATGTGTTGTGCCGGTTGCGGAAATATTTTCGGGGTCACTGACCCAGACAGACCCGACTGAATTGAAGCCCTGGTCACGAGTCGTCAAATCCACACTGTCTCTCTGATCTCTTGTCAAGCACAACGCTCCGAGAAATTTACGTCACATGTCTACTTCCGAAGTTGCTTCTGTCGGTCGACATTCTGTGGAACATCTTTTAAATGCTCCATATAAAAGGTGTTGCACAAAGATATGCCGTTGATCGGGTAATATTCTGACCTGTACTCAGTTCATCCAATTTCTTGTATTGTTTGTGCTAAAATCGGATTGAATTAGATTCTGAACTGAATTGATGGTACACCATAAACACATACTCAACGGTTAATTCGGCACAACACTTTACTCATCGCTGCATCTCCTCGGTACACGTCCAGTCGGACGCGTGGCTGCATCCCTTGGCTGTCACTCCGTTATTATTCTTGATCGTTGTCCATCATTCCGTTGCTTTATTATTTTTTTGTGGCTCCTGTGCACGCGCATTTGCAGTGACCGACTTAGTTGTAGAATTGGCACTGTTTGCAGGGCAAAGCAGCAGGGGGTGTGGACGCACACCGAGGCTGCGGTGGTAGTTGGGTTACCAAACCTTGCTTCCCGCATAGGTCCGCCCGTGGCCGGCCGCGTGTGGTGCTGTGGCCACAGCGCTCGACTCATCTCTGGGGTTGATCAAATCGGTGCCACTTTTTTGCAAAGCCAACCGAGGGCCAACAACCGTATCACCCTGAATGCGCCCGATCTCGTTTAGATCTCGGAAGCCAAGGAGGGTTGAGCCTTGTTGGTACTTGGAATGGGACAGGCCAACCTTGGGGTTGCGCGTAATGCTGGACTCGCACTTGCCACAGTGGATTGTGACATTTTCACAATTGTCTGAGTCTTATTAATGGAGAAGAGTGCTGCAGTACGGCTTGTTTGAGCAGAGAGACACTGGAACTGTTTATTTATTTTCCCCAATCATATTTCCCTCGGAGCAGTGCCACCTTTCGTGTTACAGAATGGCCCACAAAAGCAGATATCACGGAGCTAACTCTGAGATCCCTTGAGATAACTCTTTGTGTGCCCAGATGGGGGCAGCACTTTCCCACTCTGTGTACCACGTGAGAGTAACGTTCGCCACATGACAGTCAATCCAGTTTATTTCTCAGAGTTTAAATGTTGCCGAATTAAGTGCAGAAACAAAAGTAACGGAATGGTTTAAATTGTGCATTCATTAGTGATCAGGCTGAGACCATCGACTCCCTACAGTCAGGATTTGCACCCCGGATCTCAGCGGCGCCAGCTCAGAGCTCTGACCTCCGAGCCCACCGTGCAACCTTAGGTCAATTTTATTTTACATATATAGCATTTTTATTGAGGTATGCACACAAGTCCGGTAGAACACGCCGAGGGTTTCTGGGGAGGGGGACAGAGGGGGAAGTGGGGGAGCTTTCCAGCGCTTGCACAGGTCTAGGAATGGGGAGAACAACATGCTCGCTGCACACCTTGAGGGGTTCTCCGATAGGGGGGAGTAAGAGTTGTTGAAGGGGGGAGGGGAACACTGTATTTCTATATTAAGTAAAAATGTTTGAGTAAGCACGCGCGTCACACGCACCGCCGGTCTCGTCCCCCTGTTTGAGTTGGACGCTGCCACTCTCCTTCCGCTGCTCACCAGATCATCGCCGCCTTCGCCTTCTGTGTTTGCCCTGCAGGCCGTTCACATCCTGGTGCAGCAGCGTCTCTCCACGGAAGCCATCGCCAAGGCGAACGAGAGCAAAGCGGTGAGACGCTCGCCCGGACGGCAGCGCAGCAATTAGGCATCTAGTGGCTCGGCCTATCCGTTGATCAACATCGGTGCTCGTGGTACATGCATCAAATCAATTTGCGCATGTTAGAACCAGTTATCTACAAATGATTGCAAATAATACGTGAACGTTCCAACTAGGGTAATGGGACAAACCACTTTATAAACGAGACGGTGAAGACGATACGTTCGAGAATCTACAGCTCAATCGAATCGCGACCCGGAATCGTGACGATTCATTGAATCATCGAGGTAGATGGGTGGGCGGGGAGGAGGTGGTTGACCGTTGCATGTTGAGAAGCGAGGGTTGAATACCAGCAAAAAGAGCTTTATAGCTCATCGGATTCCTCCAGTATAAATAAATATTCTGATTATGAAGATCACTTTGAACAAGATGGAACATTTAATATACGGCTAGTTTACAGCTCTTATTTAATCATTTTGCGACCTCACCTTGCCCACAAGTCCTGCAGAAAAGATTCAATTCCGATTTGTTGTTAATGGTTATCACTCTGCGCTACGAACATGATCACGGCTATCATCAGTGAAGAGTGAAATATGAACCGGTCCTTGGCGCCACTTATTCTCCTTCTCTAGCCCGCACTGACCAGCGTGGTGAAGTATGGTCATCCCTCCTTGGCCGACACTGCAAGGGAAGGCCCCCATACAATAGTGGATTGACAAGAAGCCGTAACAATTGTAATGTCTAATGTTGCGTCTTCGCTATTTCCAGGGCATCCCGATCGCTCTGGATCAAAACATTCTTGGCTTCGACACCGGAGGTGAGCGTTATTTAACACTTAGGATTTTCTTAACGCGCGATTGTCATATTTTGACATGATTATACTATACAGAGAAATGGCAAGTCAGTTGCAGGCATGAGCTGGCTAAAAAGCCTGGGCCGAAATATCTGAACAGATATTCGACTTGATTTAGCCATACACAAGAAGAAGGAGAAGTAATAGGCAGCGGGGAAAAAAGTTCTCGAGCCTGGACATAACAGATACAAAGAATTGATGGTATGGATGGGAGTGGGAAAGGTCATTTGTGTTTTATTTGAGTTGCTAAAAATCATGTACTGCTCGCCAATATAGCAGCTCGTTATAAGCCCACACGCAAAATGTGAAACATCCATGCCCAATCGAAACTGAGAATGTAAAACTGCCTATTCACCTTCACGTATAGCATAGAATCAGTCGGGTGGTGCTGCGATAAGAGCACTTGGCTGGCTGTCGAAAGGTCAAAAGGTCAGATCCTTATCATAGGTCAACCCAGAGTTTATTAAATAAGCTCTTCTGTGTGGGCACTGAACAGAGATCACCCCATGCAAAGACTGGCCCCGTTATGGGAATGTGAAATTTACTACTACTATTTACTACAATTTTTATTTTACCAGGTAAGGCCCACTAGGCGAAATAGCTCTTATTTCAGAAGCGACCTGTCCACAAGTGATAGCGCAACGAAGTGGCTTATCACATGGAAATTTACAGGAGCCGTATACCCTAAACGCATGTTTCTAAATGTGGAGAGAAAAAACTTTGTTGTCCTTCTCCCGCGCCTCCGATTAACACGATTGGCTGTGTGGAAGTCCGACGTACATACGTAAACGCCGCGGTGTCATTTTGCCTCCCCCCCCCATGCAGACGCCACCGTGAACGAGGCGGCGCGCATCCTGCGGCTGCTGCACATCGAAGAGCTCCGAGAGCTGCAGACCAAGATCAACGAGGCCATTGTGGCCGTGCAGGCCATCACAGCCGACCCTAAAACCGACCAGCGGCTCGGCAAAGTTGGGCGCTAATCCTGCCGCGTTCTCGCGGCACGTTGAACGTGCACCGGTACCGGGACTTTTCCCGTGCTGTGGTTGTTCCCACGATTGTATGATTGGCCGCCGTAAATTAACTGTGCTGATGGTGGGGGGGGGTGCCCTGTTGCTATCGAGTAAATCACCTGCTGTAAAATATTTCCGATTCGTTTCTGAAATCCTGTTCGCCTGTTCACACGTGTGAGTGCAGCCACCATGCGCTTGAAGTTTCCCAAGCTGCTCTTCGTTGATTAATATGGCACTGCATAGCTGCAGCGCCAGACCTGCATAACTGCAGCACCGGCTCCCATAATGCACCGCGTTATGTGACCTGGATGTGTAGTGCCGTGTTCCCTACCACGTATTTAAGGGTACAGCAGTCATAAGTGGCAAGGTATTGCTTAAGCATTACTCCTAAAAGTTGAGTGACCATCAATTTCAATTTTTTTTTCCATGAGCAAAGATTTGAACGTGTTATGTAAAGTCTTAAAACATCATGGGTATGCAGCTACAAAACGAGGACTGCGTCCTTAGCTCAGCATTGTCTACCATACATAAATTACATTTTGGTTTAACGTAATACCACTGCATCTCAAGGTTGTACGAGATCAATATGACATACACAGTTAACAGGACATGCCAGTGGGGGGAGAAAGTTCCATATAGGGGTAGCAGTGGAGAAGGAGCAACCTCCCACTGATAAGGATTTCGTATGGCCAATGAAGAGCACCTTTTAAGTAATTTTCCAATTTAGTTGCTTTAGTACAATTGATACATTCAAATATATTAAACTTTCCCATAAACCAAAGGCGAGGATGGGAAGGGAGGAGACGAGGCCTCGTGGTTCGTGGGGACACAATTGGGTCCAGCACGATTTAGTCCCAACCCGGTCGTGGTTCCAGCTCACGTTTAACTCAGCCGTGATGTGCGCAGCGATACTTTTACCAGGTGGAACGGCTGCGTAAACACAAACGCGCAACTGTGCACTTCGTCTGAAGGTTGTCCAGATGAATTGTAACATTCGGTTAATGCTTTCAAAAAACCATACGAGTGTTGTAAAAAAAAAACTAAACTTAGATTAAGTCCCACGTGAAGTTGTTTTTTTTTCCTAGTTAAAGTCTATTGAAGTTCAAATGCATACGAGCACCAATTCAACACGAGACAAGTTCCCATCTTAACGTATACAAGAGTGAGCTGTGCAAAAATGAGATGCTGTGTTGCACAGTTTGCCTTGAAGAATACTGTTGTATAAAGATTAAATAAGGAATAAAAACTACTGGAGCATTAACGTTACCTTGGTGTCTCTTTAGTCAAAGCCATAACATAGAACACATCGTCCAGCAATGCCCATTGCTCATTCGCTGGCGGCGTCTTGGACGTTCGCAACTTTGCTCCTGCTTTCCTGCTGAATGTGTACGTAAGCTGGGGCGCAATTCCAATATATCGCAAATGTTTACATTCAGCAGAACCATCTTTACATTAAACACAGCGCTAAAGTCGCTATGATATTCACGTCGAAGAGTAAATCAACCCGAGTTAAATGAGTGTCGAATTTTACCTCGATTCCAAAATTATCCAGTGGTGGAAAAATTCACACGACAAGGGCCATCGCTTCACAAGCGACTCTCAAGTAACGGTTCCACAACGTGGTACTAACGTGTCCCCACTGTTAACCGTCGCACAGAGTTACACAATTTCATTGACCTTTCAGTGAAGGTGGGCCGATTAGATTTGCATCGGGGATTTGAACTCAGTAGCTCAGGTGAGTCAGATCGAACAGCGTGCAGGGCCACAAAACCTGCTAGTGTTATCGGAAACATGGCCGGCCTTTTATCACAATTTGAACTTAAGCTCTTTAATGTTTTAACATTTGCCAGGCCCACTGAGCTATGTAGCTCTCTCAGGCGCGACCTGGCCACAAATTATAGCTCGGCGAAATAACATCGCGTGGAACTTCGTAGCAGACATAGTCAAGGCGCATGTTGATTCTCAACGTGGAGGGGGAAACCACGCGACCACGGGGAGAGGGACACGCAAAGTCCAAATACACAGGCTTGTTAAGTGACGCACAGTATGCACAGTATTCGCTTGTTCTCGAAGAGAGTACGACTTGGAGGTGCGAGGGATACCTCAAAACAAGTGGGGAAGGTAGCAGAAGTGACCGGAGTTTCATGTAAGGCACCACTGGGATCTCGAGTCCAGATCTCCCAGACAGTCTCGTCCCTTCACCTGATGAAGGCCGCTTGTGTTGTGTCCGAAACGTGATTTTTTGTTATTTTTTGTTATTTTATTTTCACCTACGTGACTTTACCCAATAGAACCAAAGAGTAAGACTGAGGGTCTCTCCTACGATGTTCGCAAACTCCGTCCAGGCAACCGTCACAAAGAAGAAGATCCAGAAAGGCAATGCCCATTGCATGATAAACCTCACCCCCTCCAGATATTGCCGTGAGTTCAGGAGGAAGCCATTTGAAGAGCGGAAGAATATGCTGAAAGTATTTGGAGTGTGCTTCAAATGCTGTGCTTCTACAAACCACCTTGCAAGGAATGTTGCAGCGACAAACATGAAACTGCTCTCCACAGTTGCATGTTATGCTAATGTCTCTGCTCCAGCAGACCCACATCTCTCTCTCTCTCTGCCCCCTCTCTATTTATGGCCACGACACAGAGGCATTGGGTCTCTGTGTGTCTATGTTGTGTCTCTCTGTGTCTCTGTGTTGTCTCTCTCTCTGCTTGTGTGTCTGTCTGTGTGTCTCCGTGCCTGTGTTTTGTCTCTCCCTCAAATTTAGTTCTACCTGATGACGACTTGCTTGTGTTGCAATAGAAACGTCGTATTCTATTACTTAATTTATTTTCTTTCTACGTGACTTTACCGAAAGAACCAAGGAGTTACTACTTCTCGCTCGCAAAGATACGGACAAATAAGTTAAAGGTCTCGAAGTCACGAGGCCAGGCAGGGGTGTCAGCCATTGCTCAGAGCACAAAATGGAGGCACCAATTAGCGTCTCAGTGAAGACGGGTGCATCTGTTCATTGCGGGACTTCAAGAAGCATTGTCTTGAGTTCGTTTATGTTCTCATAATACTGGGAACGCTGTTATATTTCGATTTAAAGCTTTTGTAATTGCAAGGATTCATCTTCTTTGGTTCTTTCGGTAAAGTCACGTAGAATGAGAATAAAATAATAAAATAAGACAATTAAATTCTCACGACGTTTCGGCCACAACACAAGTAGCCTTCTTTAGGTGAAGGAACAGAACTGTCGGGACGAAGAAGGCTACTTGTGTTGTGGCCGAAACGTCGTGAGAATTTTATTGTCTTATTTTATTATTTTATTCTCATTCTACGTGACTTTACCGAAAGAACCAAAGAAAATGCTGTTATAATGGTGGGATTGCCGTTTTGCAGTAAATGCCTTTATAATGCTGTTAAATTGTTATAATGAATATGGAGCCTAGTTAACCGCAAAGCCTGCCACTTGCATTATTGTGAAAATTATTGTAGTTATATAAGTCGAGCCAGACTTGTGCCCATGTAACTTTAATTCGATCTTGAGAGCAAGGATGAATACGTATCTCATCCACAGTTCAGTGTTATTTGCAGCACTACATTTAGGCTGCAGTATGGTGATTACACAGAGTTACCTTATTTAACACAGTAGCTTATTCTCTTGTTGTATAGCTATTCGGTGCTAATGTAGGTGCCTGGTCGATCCAGGACCTATTGTTTGAGATTCATGTTATCTAAGACAATGTTAGGATGCTGCAGTGTGCATTCATTGTATTGACATTACAAGTATAGAGGAGTAGTGGGATGACGTCATGTCATCTGTAGAGGAGTGACGTGATGTGATGCGTCATGTCATCGAGGCGGCGGGGTACTTAAGCGGGACCCCGGGACGAGGGCATGGTTGCCGTGAGGGGAGTGAGAGAGAGGGATGGAAACGAGAGCCTGCGTGGAAGACATCCCAGCCGCCGTCGAAGAAGGGCTAGAGATGTCGAGGTCTCACCTCGTCGCCGGGCGGTGATGGGTGAGCCCCCGCCCGCGGCAGATGAGGGGGTATGCATCAGGGAAGCTGTACCGGGTCGTAGACAGCTGAGGGATGTCCACGTGTGTAAGCGTCGAGTGTATCGAGTGTAAACAGAGTGTGTGTGTATAAGAGTGCGTAACAGTTGTGAATACACGGCAAGCAGCCCCATGTAAGAACCCTCATCTCCGTCTGGCTCTACAAGTCTCCTGGGTGTCAGGAGTTAGTACACAACACAAGTATTAACAGATGCTGTATTCTGTGCTGTTTTCCCCATCAGTTGTACCTCGTTTTATTAATTTAATACGTGGGGGGTCGGATGTTCACCCTGGCTCTGAAGGTTTATTGAATGCGAGGTTAACTACTCGGATAGTGGTGCAACGCAGTGCACAGCGAGGCCGACACCCGTTGACAGGTATACTGAATGTTAAATTGTAGTCGTTGCTCTGCATCTACGTAAGTAGCCGTACGAAAGAATAAGGTGTTTTTTTTTTTAAATGTGCTCAAAAAGTCAAACAACTGGATCGTACACAATCGTCATTTCTTCTATGCAGTCGACTTTTTAAACCGTTCTGGTTCGACCTCAGCGGATCCTTCCCACGCAGGTGTCGAAGAGTATTGGGCTGTTATGAATTCCCACGTGATAAGCCACTTTGTATAGCTGTCAATTGTGGCCAGGTCGCCTCTGAGAAAGAGCTATATAGGTCAGTGGGCCTAAGGGGCCGTCCATAAATGACGTCACGCGATTTTGGACGATTTTTGACCCCCCCCCCCCTTCGTCACACGGCGTCACAAAAAGTCAGACCCCCCCCCCCCTTAAATGACGTCACAAAGCTCTGCCCCCCAAACCCCACAAAAAAACCACATGCTTCAAATCGCTTTAAATTACTGTCATTGTAGTGTGTATTTAATGTGGCGTTACACTCTGATGTAGGAGAAAACATTTATTAAAAAGTCTATTTAATTAAGTAGAACGTGTCTATATTTAAAGGTCCGATTGTCACAAATGTCTGACCCCCCCCCCCCCAGGTGCGTGACGTCATTTATGGACGGCCCTTACCTAGTAAAATACAAAACAATATTAGTTTCATACTCTTTGGGTCTTTCGGTAAAGTCACGTAGGTATAACAAAATAATTCCAAGGAGTATGAATTCCTGCAGTCACGAAAGCTTTAAATCAATATTAGTTTCGTTTTTGTTTAGCTCCGCTTCGTTCTGTATCCGGCTATTTCCGTGCATTGTTTGGAGCGTCAGATCTGTCCAGCCTCGGATGTTATCCATTCCTCTTGTTCATTTTCAGGTGCCTGCAGAGGCCCTCGATTGTCATGTACAACACACACTCGCCCCGTGGACCGTGGTAACAATTGAGATAAGTGTGGTTAGAGTGCACCTATTAAGATACGCCCGGCAGATACGCAGTCCCCTACATTAGCAGGAGTGTAGCGTTGTAAATATTGACGAATAAACTTCTTTATGAGGCACACGTTGTTTATTGTCTTTCACTACAGGGTCCCTAGCAGGAAGGGTATATCGGTCCCTTCACCCGATACCTGGGCGCTATGGCCTCCGGACTATACCGAACCTAACTCTGGTCACCCGTTGCCTATCGTCCTCTGGCTGGGACCTAGGGGAGGCTAGTTGACCCCGACCTCCTGGTCCGTGGGTCCTGACCACTGGCCTCACTGAGCTCCAGCCCTTAGAAGGGCTGTAGAGCTTGGGGTCCAGGGTCCTGTCTGCCAGGGACCTATTCTCCCTTGACCACTGGCCTCACTGAGCTCTACAGCCCTTAGAAGGGCTGTAGAGCATGGGTTCCAGGGTCCTATTCTCCAGCCCGGTCTTCTGTCTTCGGCGTGTAGATAACTGAGCCAGAGCTCTCTGAGCTCTCTGAGCTCTGGCTCATTTACCCGTTCGTGGCCGGCTCCGCCCTGGCCATGCCTTCCTTCTGGAACCTTCTGGAAGGTGACATCATTCCCCCGGGTTCCCTCCCCACCCGGGGGCCCTGGGAATGTGTCCTAGGATACGTTTACCAGGATCCGCCGTTGGCATCTTTCTGGCCCATGGCATTTGCCCTGGCGAGGTAACGCCTCTGCACTCTGTTGACAGTAAGTGGAACTGCAGGGCTGTAGTATGGTGAGTGACAATCACTCCTACAGCAGCACGAGCAGCATGAGTGAGTGGCAGCAATAATAGCAGCAGCAGCAGCAACATCGGTAGGAGCAATAGCAGATGCAACAGTAGCAGCAACGGAAGCACTAGCAGCAGT